ATCAAGTCACTCATACAAATGAAGATGGGGATTCATTATAATTATAGAAGAAGAAACTTTCTTGCATAAAAAACCTTACAAGGTTATGTGCATATACAAATAAAAATATACATGAAACAAACAAAGGATACATACATGTACATAATTATACAAAGATACACAACTTTACAAAGATATATTAGCTACGCAACACTGTTGAGAAAATCTTGTGAGGTTTTTAAAGAAGGTAAATAGGTTATATGGTCACATTTTAATATTTGATTTATCTTAAGACTTAAGACCGCTTTTTATTGATGATGTCTCGCAAATTTGGAGACTGTTTCTTTAAACGGGAAGAATCATTAGTAATCTTATATCACTGGCCCGGCGGAGTAGGGGGGCTACCCCCCCCCCAATAATTTGGCCGCAAGTACTCTTTCCTCCAGGTTATTGCGGTCCCTGGACCCACGCTTATAAGGACCTAGGATGGAAGCCCCACCAATCAAGAATTGCTTCCGCCGGCCCTGTATCAGGTTACATATATATATATATATATATATATTTATATATATTCCTAACCCATTGATAAGTTTTCAACTTGTAAAGAACAGCATGACAAATTTCAGCTTTATAGATCTGTCGATATTTATGAATTTAAAAATAATAGTGACAGCTCTTAAGTAAGATGATAGGTCATATTTGAAGGTTGTATGTGCTATATATGTGTGCTGTGGAGTCATCTAGAGCAATTTACTTCCAGTAGGATGATTTTAGGTAAAATCTCAAGATACTTCAAGTAAAATCCAAAGAAGATCTCACTTATGGTACCAGAAGGTTGCTCCAGCTAAATTATGAACTTAACAAACATTCTTTCTCATTTCCACTCTGGAGGTCTTGACATTTCAGACTGATAGCCAAAGGAAATTCTGCCACACAATTAAAGACTGCATAAACTCAAATAATATATTTTTGATGGAACAACTTATTTAAATCTCAAGTAGGTTTCTGGTTTGGTTATTCTGAAGTAAGTCCAGAAGTACTCATTTATCTGTGTCATGAATTGTTTTACTCAACATTTAAGCATTTTCCAATTATAGTCTTTACCATCTCATTAATTTAGATTTGTAAATATTTGGTTATTTTGGCAGTGGTTGTGGCGTGTTTATGTCAACAGGGTGTCTGATGTAACTATACAACTATTTGTTATAGAGTTTTTCTTGCTTTGTTTTAAAGTTTTATTAGTATCAAGTGGTTCAGATTATTATTACATTAGTATAACATATTCAAGGATAGGATAATAGAATATTATTATATTATTATTCACTGGCAATGAATTATGATTCAGTCCTCAGCAATGTTTTATGAAATATGCAAATATAATGCAAAGCTTCCTACACGTGTCAGTGATGACCTGAGATGTTGATTGTTTGGTGGTTGTATAATGATAATTATCAATCATGTCAGTTCGAAAAAAAAAAAAAAAATTATGACCAGACGGCTGATTAGCATTATACAGAATTGCATATATGATATGATTTGATACTGGATTAATTGTCTCTGCATAGAATATTTTGTCTGGAATGAAGCCAAATAAGTCTCACAGGTAGTTTCCTCGGTGTCAGTTTTTGAACAGGATTAATTATTTATATAGAATGAAAGAAAAGGAAATTATGTGAACAAATCCATGGCTGCATTAACTATTACCAGGTCCCTAACCTTTCAGGTACTTTGGTGCTCCCACTGCCAGTTCAACCTTTCAGCTCACTATGTCCAAGTCCTGGTCCTGGCACGGTTAGCACTATATATATGTATCATGTTTAACCAATGGAGACCCTTGGGCCTTTTAACAGTGCATAAGCAATTATGAATAATACTGCTCTGAACAAATCTGTATTTGATTAGAAAGTAAAGACTTAGTGCATATTTATAAATTATAGCAAATTATGACAAATTGATCATGAAGTGAAACAGCTTAAATTTTACTTCCATTTAATAGAGGATTTCATCATTATAATAATTTATAATAAGGAAAATAGATCTGGTGTACAATACAAGTGTGGAAGTGGTCAGGTTTAAATAATGATTTTGGATAATCCAAAGTAGAAACTTCCAAAAATTAAGTACATATAGCAAGTGTTTAGAGACTTAAAAATAATTTGAGCAAAGTTCACATCCATTTAGCAGGAACTTCTAATGATTACGAAAATTCAACTTAAAACACTGCAGTTCATCCTGTTTGAGGTGACATTCAGGGAAATCCCCATCTCAGTATTAACATGTGATTGTGAAAGAGTGCCTGTCTCATGATTATGGGTTTCCTATGATTCATAAATAAAGTAAAGTTCAAATTTAATATAGCACTTCCAGAATAAATTGCCTGTTATATATAGATATAACCATAGCATTATAAAATAATCACAAATTGTCTAAATACATTCGTTGTTCTAGGAGAGAGCTGCGATAGGTTTCTTGGCAAGGCTTATAAATTGTTCTTGTTAATTTTTTAAAAGTTCATGAAGAATTTGGCTTGTGGCTAGAAAACAAAGGATGAGGAGAACAACTATTTAACATGTAGATAAGAAGGTAAAAGGTTCAAATAATGGCTTGTTATTTTATCTGTAGAAAATACTGTTGTCTTTTTTTGTTTTTTGGGGGTGAATGACCTTCATTCTTTCTACATACCATACCTTATCAGTCATATAGAATGTTTTAAGTTCACCTACATGCAGGCAGTATACAGATCTGGGAATTTTTGTGCACAGGAAATGGACGAGTCGATTCTTTTTTTTAAAAAAAAAATAATGCTGTTCTAGTTTTCAAAAAAGTAGGTTACAATATGCATATATGCATTAAGATTTCAGATTAAGAATCAAACAGTGATGATAAGATGCAATTTTGAAAAAGCATTTTGATTAGTTCATCGTGCAAAAAAAAAGTAATTGAACTATTAATTAGAAAACAGACCCAATATTGAAACATTCAACAGAAAATGAAAACAAAATTTTAAAAAGAAAGTTAACGATAGATTTTAAAAAATTTAATGATAGATTTTAAAAAATATTAAAGATAGATTTAATAACAAATTTGCATATTTCTCATTGAAAATTTCCATTCACAAATAAAACTCCCCAAAAATCCACTTTTTTTTTTTTTTTTTGGTTGAAGACTAAAGGGGGACAACTCTGTAATAACCACTGACTTGGACAGCTAGGTATCATGTCTACTTTAATAGTTTACATAAAATTATGTCAATATTATTTTTGAAAAGGGTTAAATCTTAAAGAATTCTGGCATTACATTCATTTATTATTACTTCAGATAAGAGAAAATTAGTTGAATATATAGCCTGTCAGTTATAATGATCATATGGTTTATTTTATCGTGTATGTAATTATAGTAAAGATTAGAGTCTATGGTAAGATACAGGTAAATATTATGGAGAGATTTTGCTGACTAGTTGTATATTGTAGGTTAATATCATCTAGTATTTACTATAAGTTACAAGGAAATAATGCTCCACCCTTTGTAATGTATATTGGCATCATACCAAGAGGAACGGTCAGGTTACGCTGTAGTTGTAGCCCTGGTCTGCATGGCTACCATATGTTACAAACTAGAATTCAGACACTTAGAAATACCAGATTTTTTGTGGGAAGGTAAATAATATCATATAATTAACCACTTGTCATAAAGAGGAATTTTTTGTTCCACTGTCTGTAATTTAGAAAGCTTTATTAAAGCATTTGTCAAACATAGAAAAAGAAGAATTATGAAAGAGGAAATTTTAATGAATTACAAAGTGCAAATTTAAGTAAGTCATGCTGTTTTATTTGATGAAGACATCATTATTTACTGGATTGCTTTGTTAACAAGGATTTTTTATTTGAATAATGTTGATTAATTCATAGACTGCTTTGTTAAAGAATATTTTTAACTTAAAGATTGTTGATTAATTAAGATGTAGGATGTACAGATATATTTTCCAACCACTCAGAAAGGGCTGCATCAGCATGTGATTACTTGTATAGAAAAAAAATGCCATAAAAGATGAAATGAATAAACCAAGATATAATATGTGTTGTTGTAGTTCTATAAAATGTTAAACATACATTTGTTGGTGTGTAATTGGAGGAAGCTATGCGAGCTAGTTGTGTATGAAATTTAAAACTAAAAATGCACCACATGACTTTCAAATTGTGCAATGTCTGGCCAAGTACACTTGCCAAAATTTTCTTCAAATTTAGGATTAGAAATGGTCTAGAACAGCACGATACAGCTATAAAGTCCTGGCTAAGATAAATAATTCACTGTTCTGGAATAAATTGTTGAATAATGGTTTGAAAGTTTTATTTAACTGATGAAATAAGTCCAACACCTTGCCAGAATTAAACCTTTGCTGAGCTTAAGCAGCTGTAATTTATGGTGATTATTTGGGTTGTCTGGAGTTGTCATGCCGTCTGCTCTACTCAGATGTATATTAGGGGAGGTGAAACATTTATGACCTGTTGATGTTGCTAATCAGCCAGAAAAGCTGTTAAGCCTATTATCTATCACTGATCATAGTTTTAGTATGAGTTGTATATTTATTTGTCCAGAAAAGCCAAGTTACTCCTTTGATATTTGCTTTTTTGCCAAATAATATGTTTGTAATCTATGGGTGGCTAAAGAGTACTTAATTTGAAAAGATTAAAGTGATATAATATAGTTTATGGTGTAACCTTCCTTGAAATTTCCATCAACTGATGAAATAGCAGAATTAAAAACATTTCTATTTTACTTATTAAGAATAGGTAGCAAAGGAAAAGATGTGTATACAAATCCTCACAGCCCTTCACTACCCTTATGTCTTATTAATCTGTGGACAAGTAAAGTTCCAGGGTAGGGTTAGAAATAGGATCATCAAGTCTGTAATGAACTGAAGGGTTAGGAGTAAGCAGAAATCCGGATGGGCAAATAACATCAACTGGTTTATTACTGGTATTTATTTCACTATAACAATGATTTTGTTTGTTTCTTTATAGGTGCTGTTGCTGCATAAATTTAGGAAAAATGTATGAAATATTTCATTATGAGAAATGATGTACGATGTGAGGATTTATCCCAAATGATGGTAAGTTGTCAATGAAATCTCATATACCATATATCTATAGAATAAATTGTGCTGAAAAGTAAGAATAATGTCCTTAAAATTAAGGAATTGTCTGTCAAACCTTACAGAAACTGTCTATGACATCATCACAGCCACCAATCGATGCGCAATTGTACAAGGAACACGTTTGCTTAGTTTTATGTTGATTGTTCATGAATAAGCATAGCCTCAGGCTTTTTTTAAAGATCGTTACCCCCAAGAACAACATCAATAAGAAGTAGCTCCTGGCCCAGAAACAGAAGAAAGCAATTAGAGAATATATAGTAAAGTGTAAACTTTTGTGAATTCTACAGAAGATGTATTGAGATTTGGCTGTATTATAGCTGAATTTTGTTTCATGCTTCACCCTATATTTATGCCAATACGCAGGACACAATTCTATGGAATACAATTTTACTGTTTATTAGTGAGTGACATTTTTGATTAGGATTCTCTGATTATCATGTAAAACTATAGTGTTGTGTTGACCAGTGAAATTTAAGTCTAATGGGAATAACTCCATTTCTTGTTGTTTTTTAAATCAGTTTACACAGTATCTTTCACTTACGTCGTCAAGATTATTCTTTGATAGCTACTATTGATAGATTTTGTTGGTTATCTTTATACCTCCAATTTATTGAGTACATGCAGCTATTATATATAACTCTGTGCTTCAAGATTTTGGCTGTAACTTTTGCTAATTAGATGTAGTGAATAGGTTAGTGAATCGTGCTTCAGTCTTTCAGAACAGACTTATTTAAATTTATATATAATAAACCTTTATCCTATTACCTAGTTCAATTATCTGACGCTCTGAAGAAACATAAAACGTCAAATTTCATCTCTGGTTCTCACTGTATTCTGTATCTGTGTCCAGGCTTGAGAAAGTATTTGCATCATTTGTAACATTTTCAAAGGAGGTCTTGGATTCAAGTAAGGATAAGAATTGCAGACCTGCATGTTGAAGTACGGTATGTGGTTATGTTTCTAAAAGATAAAACGTGTGACAAAATAAATACAAGGAGCCATTAGCCTTAGGCTACAGTGCTTTCCTACAGCAAATATTTTTATCCGGCAGTTATCTTTTCCTACCAATGATGTGTTGGAGAAAGTCCCCATCCATGGTTATTCTGGGGAAGGAAAAACTTGAGGCAACAAAACACAAGATAAAAGAAAACACAAATTTATATTTCCAGGGCATCTTCCCCAAAAATGTATGCCGTTTAATTTCAATGTAGGCCTACAGGGTATTAGGCGACAAAGCCTAGAATAACACTTTTAAGCCAACCAAGAATTACAATGTTTAAAATAACCTCCTAACCATATATTATATTTTAAAGTGTAGAATAAATTGTATCAGAAAATATAATTCCCATATGGAAGGTTATTCCTCATACAGAATAAATTAACTTCCAAAAGAAATGACAGAGGTTTATAGTCTAGTAGAAAGAATTCTTAAATAATAGCCTTTGACAGCATGTGTGTTTTTCATTTGTGTAAAGTCTATCTTAGTTAGATAAAGATAAAACATTAATTTCTGTAAGATAAATTTGTATATAGACAAAAATAATTCTGGTAATTTTTAATAGTTAAATACTGAATTATCCCCCTTTAACTGCAGTATGAGAAAGGTACTGGTAGGTAGGCCTACCATTAGGTCTGATGTATGACTCTGTCTAGAGGTTTATAGTTGGATTTTAAAAAAAACCTACCTTTTTGCAATATCAAAATCTTCAACAGTTGAAAGTATCCTCAGTTAAAATAAAAATAAAACAACTTATAAAAGATCATTGATCTTAGGCCTACAGAATTTTTGCATTGCATTGCATTACTTGAGTTTGACTCCTAAAAAGTTAATAAGGCAAATGTACACATAGCTAAATTTTCTTTCTGGAAAAAAAAAAGTGTAGAATTACCTCTAAAGGTAATTTTTAATTCAACAATCTAATCTACAATCCTTGTTCTTATCCAAAACATTAAAATGTGGGCTACATAGTAAGTTTAAGTTGGCTTTAAATGAGAGTTATTTCCCTTGTTATGTATGGTTTCCATTTTCTAATTTACTAGACTGTATTTCTTATACACATCTTTTCTTTTTGATGGGCATGGATCCAAGTAGTGGTTTTATAGCTCTCCCCAAAATCTTTGAAATGTTATCATAGAAGTCTGTGATACTAAAAATCAAAATATTGGTTTCTCTTTAGCTATGTTCAGCTAATTTATTTGAACAATTTCTTAATTAGACATATTTAATAAGACATGATGAACTTTAAAGGCTGTAGCCCATAGGCCCCTGACTTATGCAGGACCTCAAGAGATAAGTTTATTAAGTTATTTAATTTGTGAATGCTGATTTAAAGTGGGTCTTCCATTTCTCCATTTCAATTTTGTACTATTTGACACAAATTGGTTGATACGTTGTGTGAAAGCAGATGGAAGGGTTTATTCTCTATCTCCTTTATTTGTCACAGACACTGAAGTGGATAGAAAACAAGGACCCTGAATTTGTTCTGTTTTTTTTTAAAAAAAACATTTTCAATTTTATTCTTATTCCTGCATTTGCAATCACAGATCATAGCCTACAGTTAAATAGCCTACCCTAAAATTCCAATTCCAATATATAATCTTATTGTGGTCTTCATTTAAAGGTCTTGGTCACAAAGTTAAAGATATTTTTCATAGACATGTTTAGGTACAATGATGATGGATTAGCATTTTGGCTCCTTCCCATTCTAAATCCCTTCTTGCGATTAAATTATAACATTTTAATTTTCTGACGTGGAAAAATATTCATACTAAAACATGACACAATTGTTTGCTTCAGAAGGACAAGTGAACAACCCTTGTCATTGACAGAAATAAACATCTAAGTTGTATTCCATATAATAAATGCCATTTAAACGTTTTATTAAGACTATTGAATAGTGACTTTAAATGAAAAACAAAATATCATGTTTATAGCTTTTATTAAAAAAAATCCTCAAGAGGTGAACAACCTGAAGTTGTCATTTTACCTTTAGGTTTGTAAATCTACATCACATATTTTTTATTTTTTCAGTGAAACATGAATGTGTGACTTTCATAATTGTTTTGTTTTCATGTAGATAATTCAACAAAAATAATTTAAAAAATCTTATTTATGTCTAATTAGCTCCTACTCAATAATTCCTATGATTTATTTTGTAATAATTGCTAAAATGCCAAAACATTTTAAATGTATATTTTTAATGTAGCTATCTTCATGGTAATTTTATTGTTTTATATTAAATGATTTTCTAAGACCAACCAGTAGTTTTGATAGAGGTGGGCATGTACAGGGCCCGCAAAAGGGCCCTCCTGGCTCAAATATTTTGACAGATACATGGTCTCTAGCATCATTTGGCGTATATAATGGGTTAATTGGAGGACACTTTGTTAAAACACAGAAACTACTAAGATTTAGTTTTACTGAAGTAATAATAATGAGATGTACGCGATTTAGACGGGAAATTTTAAACAAACAAACAAATGAAAAAACAAAAAACGTGACCATCAGACACCAAAATATCAAAAAGAAATAATTTTATTACATAAACTATGTGTTTATTTTTTTCAATACCCAAAATCATGATGAACTGGATTCAAACGGAAGGGGGTCTAGGTACACTGACGGTGACTTGAGCTTCAAGTGGAACAAGTCACAGATTTTCTTCTACTTTACTATCAAATAACAGTGTATTCTTTTTATTAAATTAAACCCAAAATGTTTTAAAAAACATTACTTGGCATACCTCTAGGCTCTGGGCTGCTGGACAAGTGTACTAGCTGTCCTCCCCCCCCCCCCCTGCACAGGCCCTAGGTTTGTGTGATCTTTATGGGTAAAATTAAGATATTTATGATTACTGATGTTACAAGGTTGGAAGACGTGACCAAGTTGTGGTATAAATGTCATGTAAGATCATAAAACTCACGATGAAGGAGATGAATCTATGCTCGGATATAAACTTGTAGTATTGACATTATGAAACAATTACTCTTAATGTTCAGTTTTGATGTGATTTAAGTTACATGTATGATGACATGGCATTTAGAAACATTAGTACAATCGACAATAATAAAATTTACTTAAACTAAGTAATTCATTGGGGGTCAGGGTTTTTCTTAACCCATCATGGTCTATTTACAAAAAAATGACGAAGATATCTTTAATAGTTCTGATGACATTTATTGATGGTTAAATTGCTTTAGTTTGAGGTAAATGTTAAATTTAAACAAATAAAATAGATTTTTAATATATTGGTATTATTTTTTGTTCATTATTTGGGGACCAAGTTTTAGATGAACAATTTCATTAAAAGTTTGCGATATCACTTTTGTGGAGTAGACATTAAACCACGAAGGTAAATGAGTTTCAATCACTGTCTCCTGTCTCTGCACTCTATCTAGTAGTAAAGGGACATTTTGCATAAGCTAACTCAAGTTTATCACTATAAACATTACAAAATTTAATTTTCATAAAAAGAGAGCAGCTAAAAATTAATAAAATGTGCCTATATTTGTATTTATGGTAAAGGAAAAAAGAAGTCTTCACTAAAATGAAAGGCTTTTGACATTAAAGAACAACAAGCAGAAAGGGTTCACCAAGAACATAAATGGTAGAGTTTAAGACAAATTATTACTGATTAAATCTCAATGGTACTTTGGAACATTATACACTCTACACATAATTTCAGTGAAAGTACCAATTAACTCAGCCTTTTAAAATTAAATTTTGGAAAAGCCCTTTTACATCAATTTTTAATTTGCTTATTTTTTGAAACACAAAAAAAGAAGATGCCTGCTGCAAAGATAATATCAATTTAAAATCTTTTTTTATACATTTGGTAGATTGATTTAAAGATAATCCATACATGACGCTTCAGTCATGAAAAAGTTTTGTGTTGAAATGTTTACAGAGACACCCATTATCTGTGATTTTAGACAGTTTTTATATGTAAAATTTG